GGCGGGTCTCGAACCCGCGGACTCAGACAATCCACTCACCTCAGCCTCCCAAGGCGCGGGATTACAGGCTGAGCCACTGAGCCTGGCATGATTTCTTTTTAAAACATGGCTCCACTGCTAATAAAAAAGTAAAAGTTGCTCAATAAGTATGGGTGGGGTAAACTGTCAATTGTTGCTGTTAGGCTGACAAATAAGAACAGAGAATTAGACTGGGCTTGGTGGCTCAGCCTGTCATCCCAGCACTTTAGGAAGCCAAGGCAAGTGGATTGCCTGAGCCCACGGGTTCAAGTTCAGCCCAGGCAACTAGATGAGACCTCGTCTTTACAATAAATCAAAAATTAGCCAGGCGTGGTAGTGCGTGCCTATAGCTGGCTACCTGGAAGATTGAGGTAGAAGGATCACCAGAGCCCAGCAGGTCGACGCTGGGGTGGCTGTAAACCTGCCACTGCACTCCAGCCTGGGTGACGGAGTGAGACTTCTACTCAAAAAAATAATAAATAAATAATAAAAAGAACAGAGAATTAGCCATTGTATTTAGCAGTGTGAAGATCATTGGTAACCTGACAACAGTGGTTATTAATTATCACCTTTGGAGGACCTTGGAAACTTGTCTGCCAGCCTAGACTTAGTTGGAAACTTTAGGGCTGGAATCCCATAATCTATTTTTGAAAAGAGCTCCGTGTGATCCTAACACATGCTAAAGTTTGAGAACAACTGTTTAATTATCCATTCAGTTCTCCATACAGAAATGTAAATCATCTTTCTAAAATAAAGATCCCAGCCGGGCTCAGTGGCTCAGCCTGTAATCCCGCGCCTTTGGGAGGCTGAGGTGAGTGGATTGCCTGAGCCCGTGGGTTCGAGACCTGCCTGAGCAGCAAGACCTCATCTCTACAATAAATCAAAAAAATCAGCTGGGCGTGGTAGCGCATGCCTGTAATTCTGGCTACTCGGAAGGCTGAGGTGGAAGGATCGCCGGAGCCCAGCAGGTCGAGGCTGCGGTGGCCGGGAGCGGCCACTGCACTCCAGTCTAGGTGACAGAGTGAGACTCCAACTCAAAAAAAATAAAAATAAAAAAATAAAGATTCCATCGACTTCTTCCCTTCAGTGGCTTTCATTGCTCTTAGAATAAAACTTATAGTTTTGTCTTTAAATAGCTTATACGTTCTTTGTAATCTGACTTCAGGTAAAATCCAGTTTCACTTCTTTTCTCTCATCTGCTTTGCTTTATAGTCTCTGGTTATACTGAACTATTATATATCAGTTTCCTGAACATGCCACATATTTGCATACCTTTGGATTCTTTCCTCTCTGAATTATATTACCAATTGACTTTAGAATCAATATTTATGTCATATATCAGGTTATATATAGCATCACGTGTCTATCACACAACCTGAGTTTGATGTTCCTGGCATGTTCTCTCAGTGTATTGACCTCTTTGTGGTACTTACCTATTTGTGATTGCTTATTTTTTTGCTTACTTTTCTGACCCACAATAAACTCCTTGAAAGCATGGACTTTCTTGTGATTGGTTAATATTTTTTGACAGTTGTGTTTTCAATGGCATTTTCATGGGACATTGGTCTAGTTATTTATTACTCTGCCATTTCAAATGTAACAACCTTCTTACTGCTCTTCTTTTTTTTCCTTTTCAGACAACTGATCAATACTGGGTGCCATGTCTTCATGATGAAACTGAGAAACTAGTTCGTAAGGTAAAATGAATATTTGACAACGCATGGACTTGATGAAAGAGAATTTTAGGAAGGCAAATGATAATATGTAGATAAGGATTTATGTAAATTGTGTTTATTTACTTACTCTGTGATAATGGCTTGTTTAATTATTTGAGACTTTAGAAAACAGTATATGTTAAAATTTCTTCAACGAAATTGAGACATGTAATAAACTTTATTTTCAGTTAATCCAACTGGATAACCTTTTTGCCTATTGGAATGTAAAGTCTCAGATGTTTTGTCTTAATGGTTATGACGAATCATTGGTAAGTAAATTTTTTTGATATGTATATATATATTTGATATCATATTTTACATAAGGTTTAATTTATTGTCAGTTAACATACTGTAGTATTTTTTCTAAGCAAAATCCATTAGCAGAATTTATAGAAGTAGGTGAATGTGTATGTGCCAATACACAAACACATGTACTCACATGCATATCTTAAATGTTCCTAGAGCATTATTTTATAATAGCAGTTTGATGAGACATTGTTTAACCACTTTAATATTTTGCCATAGGCAAGTGCTTCTAAGTTTGAGTTATGTATTTTTAAAATTTCTTTTAAACTTTTTTGTTTTGCAGATAGTATGTTTGTTTGTTTGTTTGTTTTTTTAGGATATGTGTATATTGGCATGAATATAAATAAAAACAGTTTGTCTTTTAATAGGATGACTTGAGGAATGGCATTGTTAATGAAAATATTGTTCCAGAATGTTATGATTTTGGTAAGTACATTTCATAAGTTGAAAAATATAATTAAAGTAATCAATATAAATTTTAAATTAACATTGTTGATACCACTGTGATAGTTTATACTAAATTTTCTATTATATAGTTAAATATATTTATAATATATAAAAGCAAAAATTTATCTTTTCTATATACTTTATTGTTGTGGCACTTTTGACTGTATTTTAAAACTGCAAGGAATAATGTCTAATAAAAAGGTGTAGTAAATTATGGTAAATCTCAAAGGATAATTCAGTAACAATTAGGGTAATGTTTATGAAGATATTTTGAATTGGCAAACATAATTTAGTAAGGCTAACTGTTACAGCCTGTAGTTTAATGCTATTATTTTTTAAATGTGCATTTAAAAATTTTCTTACTTATACTTTTTTCTGTTTTCAAAATTTTATAGAATGAGCATATGTTACTTTTATAATCAGAAATGAGTTTCTTAAATACAAAGAGAAAAGAAGTGCTGTTTCTTCTACCTTGAGGGCACTCAATAAATGTTGATTGGTGATGGATAACTTAAGTCTTGAATTTCTCTGCCTGATGTCATTAGCCATAAGATATCCTTCCCGAAAGTATTTCTTTTCTTGATTTCAGTGGTACTTTTTGTCTGTATTCTATCTTCATGATTACTCTATTTTAGTTTTCTCAAGCAACTCTTCTCTTGTGCCTGCTCTTAAAATATTATTTTCCTTGTTTTGAACTGGGTTTCATTTTCTTCATTTTCTCCTCATAGGAAATATTCAGAACAGATAGGTTAACTATCATGTGTGTTTATGATTCTCAAATCTACTACTATATAGATTTGACATCTTTCTCCTTTGCCCTGCACTCGTTTCTGCTGTATCAGTCAGAGTCTGATGAGGAGAGAGAAACTACCTGGTAATTTGAACAGGGAAAATTCAATATAAATAATTACTAACTATAAGAGGAGATTGGACTAACAGGAGATTGCCTAGTAAAAAGCAGTAAGAATGCTAACAAATATAGGAATAGTATAGAGAAAGAATAAGCCCTGCCCTAGGGCTAAGATGGGATAGCCAAAAAAGTGCCCTCCTTCTGCAGGACTGAGTTCTAGACCTACACGGAGAGGACCTGATCATGGCTCATTGAATGGCAGGAAGGTCTCTGTGGTTTTGTGCCAGCAAAACTTGTTGGAGATTCACCCTCTGGAACTTCCTGCAAATCTGTCCTCATGGGAGCTTCATGGAGAGATGTCTCTCTGGATGCACTCCACTGCTGAATTGTCTTATCAGGGTTCTGGGGGAAGTTTCTTGCTGGCTTCTGACTGCTTTTAGCTTTTATGCACTGCAAAAGACTTATGGTGAAGAAGTCCTTCATGCCAAAGGAACCAGATACTAGAAAAGCCACCTGTTCTGTAGGAGCTGGGTGTGGGAGAAACCATGCCACTGCAGAAGTCTGTTGAATGAGCAGCATTACTCCTTCCTCCTGCAGCCTCTCTCCTGTGTCCTCTACTGATAAAGCTTAACATTATGCCAGCTGGTAAAAGAAAAATATCTAAAGGTCTTCAAACTATTTTTCAGACCAGTCAGTGAAAGGTAAATTTGGGGCTCAGAGGCAATAAATTTATAATAACTGATAAACTGATATTAAACTGGCATACCTGCTAGAGAGGGAATGGGGAATGAAGGGTTTCTTTTTGTATCTTTGTTTTTGTGTTTAATTGAAGAGATGACAACTTGTTTATAGGCTGAGATGGGAATGATTCAGTAGAACATGAAAAATTGTTGTAGGAGAAAAGGAGGACAGTTTCTGGATCGGTGTGGGTGAAAGGGAAATCATGTCTAGTACATAAGTGGAGAGCATTGCTGCAGATAGGAGCATGGTCAGTTTGTTTATAAGATAGAATTTAGTTACAAGAGAGGAGTCTTCTTGAGTTGATGTGGCAACAGGAGTCTATGGAATTTATCTTCTGAGCTCTTCTTTTTTAAAAAATTTAATATTTGGGGAGTTGGAGGTTTTGGAGTGAAAAGAAGTCAAGAATAGGCATGTTAGAGAAGTGAGAGAATGAATTGACTAAGGCAATGTTCTCAAAGTCTGGGTCAGACTAGCAATATCAGCATCATTTTGAAATGGAAATTTCTAGGGCCTAACCCACATACACTGAATTAAAACCCTTGGGGTAACACTCAGAATTTGATGTTTTTAATTTTTTTTTACTTCAGTGAATTTTATTGATGGCAGAATTTGATGTTTTAAAATTTTTTATTTGTATAAAATTGTAGGGTACAAGTGCAATATTGTTACATGGATATATTGGGTAGTGGTGAAGTCTGGGCATTTGGTCTGTCACCTGAATAATGTACATTGTACCCATTAAATAATTTCTCATTGTCTGCCCCTCTCTCATCTACCTGTTCTCAGTCTCCAGTGTCTGTCATTCCATGCTCTATGTCCATGTGTACATGTTATTTAGCTCCCACTTGTAAATGAGAATATGTAGTATTTGTCTTTCCAAGTTGTCACTCCGATGACAAGGGCTTTCAAGATTCATCTATGTTGTCACCAAAGACATGTTTTCATTCTTTTTTATGACTAAATATGTATTTTATTGTGTATATACCATATTTTCTGTATTCAGTCATCCATTGATTAACTCTGGTGGATTCCATATCTTTGCTGTTGTGAACAGCTCTGTGATAAACATATAAGCTCATGTGTCTTTTCCTTAGGGTAGACACACAATAGTGGGATTGCTGGATCAAATGACAGTTTTATTTTAGTTCTTTGAGAAATCACCATACTGCTTTCCATAGAGGTTGTACTAATTTACTTTTCCACCAACAGTATTCACTTTCTCTGCTTTCTCACCAACATCTATTATTTTTTGCCTTCTTAGTAATAGCCATTCTATAGGCATAAGATAATACCTCATTGTGGTTTTTGTTTGCACTTCTCTGATGGTTAGTGATGTTCAGCATTTTTTGTATGCTTGTTGACCATTTGTATGTCTCCTTTTGAAAAATGTCTATCCATGTCCTTTGTCCACTTTTTAATGGGGTTATTTTTTGTTGTTGTTATTGCTGTCAAGTTGTTTGAGTTTCTTGTAAATTCTGGGTATTAGTCCCCTGTCAGATGCATAACTTGCAAATATTTTCTCCCATTCTGCAGTTAGATATTTTAATAATCTCTTCAGGTGATTCTAATGAATACTAAAGTTTGAGAACCACTAGGATAGAGTAGGGGCTGAATAATTTTTTTGTAAAAGGCTAAAGAGTAAATTGAATATTTTACATTTTGCAGGCCATATAGTATCTCTAACACATATTCCCTCTTTGTGTCTTTTAAACAACCTTTAATAGTATAACAATCATTTTGGGCTAACTGGACCTACAAAAACAGGTTGTGGTATGGATTTGGCTGATGCCTAGACAAAAATAATTTCTCATTGTCTGGCCTCTTTCATCTACCTATTCTTCTCAGTCTCCAGTGTCTATCATTCCACACTTTATGTCCAAGTATACACGTTCTTTAGCTACCACTTATAAATGAGAATATATAGTATTTGTCTTTGCAAGTTGTTTCTCTGATGTTAAGGGCTTTCAAGATCCATCTACGTTGCTGCCAAAGACATGATTTCATTCTTTTTTATGACTAAATAGTATTTTATTGTGTATATACCACATTTTCTTTATTCAGTCATCCATTGATGAGCACTGGTAGATTACATATCTTTGCTGTTGTGAACAGCAAAAAGGAATGTTGTGTAGTTTCTCAACAAGTATTAAGGACCCACTTGACATTAAAGTGAGATAAGGCAGTGTGATTGTGTATATATATGTATCTTTTGCTCAGTCACATTCACCTGCTTAGTTGCAGATATGGAGTTAAGTGGGTTTTGCTGAGCAAGTACTGATGAAGTAAGAAGGGCAAAGTATTAAGGATAAATGCAAGGGGATGATTAGAATAACTGATAATGGAATTTCAGGGGTGGGGTGGGGGTGGAACCGAGGACATGAAGCAGAGGTGAAAGAGAAAAGATGGAGGAATTGTGTAGGTCTAGTAGCTTCTGTCACTAACCTCTAGATTTATTTATTTTCTGTTATGTTTCAGTGTAAGATGGAATGCAGCAGAAGGAAGATCTTTAAGCATTTATTTCTATTCAAATAAAAATACCTTTGAATGTTTAAAAAGTATTATAGCAAGTTCATAGGGATGATTAAAGCAAAACATTTATATATTATCTTTGTATACAGATTAGTTTATAATTTAATGGTTGATCTCTGTCTAGATTCTACTATTGCTAAATAAGAACTGTTGCATGGTTCTTATTTTTTTGTGGAGGGGAGCATTAAATACAGAGTTGAGAGGGATTTATCTTAGGTTATGGGTTGAGTCAACCAGGTAATCCTGGGAAAACTCTCTTCTTCTTTCTCCTCTTTTAACCAGTTAAAAGGAAGAAAGGTGGAACAGAGAAATTCATCAGAAATTTAGAAGTTATAATTAGATAATGAAAATCAGTGTTAATATATAATCCTTTTTATCCTCTTAGCATTTCTAATGTTCATTCATTTCCTAAAACTGTGTGCTTTTATTAAAACTATATTATTGGACTATTTTTCTTTTAGAGGATGTGTCTGCTTTTAAGGCTTATAGTGGTATTTTGAGGAGTTAGATTAACCTTTATTGTACATGTAGAAGACAACATGAGTTACAAGTAAATCTTCTCCACTAATTAACAAACAGTTCATCTGACCAAATAAGATTGTATGACTATGTGGGAACTGTAGAAAGGGTATAAAAGAAATAAAAATCAGTGTTTTCAACTTTGTCTTTTTGGTGCCTTGAAACCTTTGAAATATAACTCAGTTTTTTTTCAATTTATATTATTTTTCAGTATTTCGCCCCATATCTGCTAATGCCAAACTTCAGATGAATCGCCGATCAGATTTTGACTTTTCTGACCCCAAAATAAACCTGGATGTTGAGTTACATAACATAGCAATTGAATTTAATAAACCACAGGTGATTTTATTTAATGAAAATTTCAGTTGTGATTATTGTTTGATAAAAGAGTAACTAAGATTTTAGATGTTTTTCTAAAATTCATAATATTATATGGTCACATTTTCTTAAAAGGTCAGTAATTTAACTTTGATTTTCAATAATTGAACAAAAAACCTGAAACAATTAAGAACTGTAAATTTTCCGTTTTTTAGTATTTCAGTGTCATGGAGCTTCTTGAGTCAGTTGATATGATGAAGCAAAATCTGCCTTATAGGAAATTCAAGCCTGATGTACCTGTTCACTTTCATGCCCAGGAATGGTAAATGCCTTTTTTTAAGATTTAAAAAATATGGCGTAAAAGTAAATTTCTTGACTTTAAGAATAATTTTTAAGATGCTTATTTTAAGGTCTGATACAACAAACTGTAATTGAGTTTGTGAAACATATGTAGGTGCGTTTGCCTATTATATTAGTGCAATTGTTTAAGGAGTTCTTCCTTGCACAATTTACAACTGGAGACACTAGACTACCTTAGTTTTCATTTACTGTAGAGGGTTCAATATTTTTGGAATTATGGAAAAAAGTATATCCTGGTAAGTTTTCTAACAATGTCTGCTTTCCTCCCCTGCAACCCCCCCCCCAACTTTCCTATCAGACACACTAAGTATATATTATCAAGCCTGTATTTTAAAACCTGAAAAAGTTATGGAGTCTATGTAATATAACTCCATTTTATATTTCAGGTCTAGTTTTCTCAATATTTAAGCTATTCCTAGTTTTAAGAAGTTGGAATTACTCTTTTAGTTGACTAATTCAGTTATTGTTCAGGTGCCTAAAATGTTGTTTGCCAGTTGATGCCTTACTAACTACTTTTTGTGTAGAACTGTTTATTTTTATCACAATAAAGTTATTTTGCTTATTTTCACTTAAGGAAGAGGTAAGATTAATAATGCATTGTTAACGCAAACATTGAGTAAAAAGGAAGTGCTCAGATAATATGAGGGGAGACCCAAAAAACCTGGAATTATCTTTTGGAGGGTGGTCCCTTTTTGGTAAACTCGGAATTTGTTTCTCCGGATCAAACCATCAACCAAAGCTTTTATCTGGCAGTTTTGAGAAGGGTGTGTCACAATTTGCGGAGGAAAACAACCCAAGTTGTGGCAAACAGGTGACTAGTTCTTCCACCATGACAACACACCTGTCCACACTGTACTGGGTGTTCAGCAGTTTTGACCAAAACCAGCCTGACCCTGGTGCTCCACCCCTCCCTATTCACCTGACTTCACTCCGAGCGATTTTTTTTTTCCTTTCACCAATGAAAAATGTCCTCAAAGGGAAACATTTTGCCAGTGTGGAATACATGAAACAAAAAACGGCAGAAGCACTAAAAGTCATCAACATTTGATGAGTTCAGAAACTGTTTTGAGCAGTGGAAAAAGCATCTTGATAGATGTGTTGCACCAAACAGAGAGTACTTAGGAGGTGACTGAAGTTTAAACGTGGAAGAGTAAATATATAATTTTTAATAAATACCAGTTTTTGAGTCCCCCCTCATATATCATTTTTATAATCTCTGTATTGTATTTACGTTTGTTGTTAGAGTAGAAGCAATATCAGTTATGTATCATACTGTTGATTTGAGGGTGTTAAGTGTGTAGTTTTTCTTTTTGTTTTTTTAACTAGGTGGGCTTATGCTATACATGGTATTCTTGAAGTAAATGTTTGCCCCAACTTACGGATGTGGTCATGGAAGCATATTAGAGAACATAGGCAAAAAGTGAAGCAATATAAAGAACTGTATAAAAAAAAATTAACGAGTAAGAAGCCACCTGGTGAAATTCTCGTGTCTTTGGAGGTTAGCATTTAAAAAAAATTGTTGAGTATTTTGTACTACATAACTCCTCAGTCTTTAGTGACTAACACTTTCTACTTATTCTCTCTGATTTTTATTGACCATTCTTTCTCTTTTACTTAGACATTTTTGTCTGTTCTTCACATGGGTAATACAAGATTTGGGTTTACATGATTTGGGGGGATAATTTCAAATTTTCTAATTAGTTTTGAACTTTAACCTGAATCCTTCAATTCTGCTGGACAAGAGGACCCTGAATTAAGTTGCTTTCAAGATAAGAGTAGGTTGTGGTTTCTTCCCTTGGGGGAAAAAAGGTTGGAGCTTGAGGTTTTCAAGAGTAATCATGGGTATGTATAGCTATGATGAAAGATTGAGCTTATCTCAGTTTATTTCAATAGCCATGACAACTTTGAAAAGTATAATTGTTAAGAACAAATCTTAAGTGTATTTAAGTCTACTTGGAATACAGGCATACTTCATTTTATTGCATCTTGCTTTATTATGCTTTACTGCATTTTTTTTTTTTCTTACAAATTGAAGGCTTGTGGCAACTCTGCATTGAACAAGTCTATCAGCGCCATTTTCTGCCAGCATGTATTCATGTTTCTGTGTCACATTTTAGTAATTCCCTCAATATTTTAAACTTTTCATAGTTAATTATATCTGTTATGGCATTCTATGATCATTGATCTTTAATCTTTGCTTTTAATATCACAATTGTTTTGGGATACCACAAACTGCATTCATATAAGACCTCAAACTTAAAAAATGTTGTGTGTGTTCTGATCCACTGACTTTCCCTCTGTTCAGGTCTCCCCATTCCTGGAGACAGAATATTGAAATGAGGCCGATTAACCCCTACAAAGGCCTCTAAGTGTTCAAGTGTAAGGAAGAATTATGCATCTCTCACTTTAAAGCAGAAGCTAGAGATGATTAAGCCTAATGAAGAAAGCACATTGAAAGTGTAGATAGGTTAAAATCAGACCTCTTGCACCAAAGTTAGCTAAGTTGTAAATGCAAAAGAAAAGTTCCTGAAGGAAATTAAAAGTGCTACTTCAGGGAACACATGAATAATAAGTGAAACAACCGTATTGCTGACATGGAGAATGTTTTAGTGGTCTGAATAGATTAAACCACAGCATACCCCAAAACCAAAAAATCTAATCCAGAATAAAGCTTTAAACTTACCTTTACACTTAACTGTGAAGGCTGTGAGGAGGTGAGGAAGCTGTAGAAGAAAAGTTGGAAACTAGCAGAGGTTGTATCATGAGATTTGAGGGAAGAAGCCATCTTCATAACAATGCAAAATGAAGCAGCAAGTGCTGATGTAGATGCTGCAGCATAACTCAGATTTAGGTAAGATAATGCATAATGGTGGCTACACTAGACAATAGATTTTCAATGTATATGAAATAGCCTTCTGTTGGAAGAAGATACCATTTAAACTTTTCATAGCTGGAGAGAAGTCAATGCCTGACTTCAAAGCTTCAACGGACAGGCTGTCTTGATAAGGGCGAATGCAACTGGTGACTTGTTGAAGCCAAAACTCACTTGCCATTCCAGAAATCTTAGGTCCCTTAATAATTATACTAAATCTACTCGGCCATGTACTCTATACATGGAATAAAAAAGTCTGGATAACAGCACATCAGTTTACAGCATGGTTTACTGAATATTTTAAGTCTACTCTTGCGAACTACTGCTCAGAAGAAAAGATTCCTTTCAAAATATTACTGCTCATTGACAATGCACCTAGTCACCTAAGAGCTCTGATGAAGATGTACAAGGTGAATGTTGTTTTTCTGCTTTTCATGACATTCTTTCTGCAGCCCATGGATCAATGAATAATTTTACCTTTTAAGTCTTATTATTTAAGAAATATATTTTGTAAGATGATAGCTGCTTTAAAAAATAGTGATTTCTTCTATGGGTCTGGGCAAAGTAAACCGAACACCTTCTGGAAAGGACACACAGTTTTAGATGCCATTAAGAGCATTTGTGATTCATGGGAGGAAGTCAAAATATGAACATTAACAGGAGTTTGGAAGAAGTTGATTCCAATTCTCAATGAAGACTTTGAGGGGCTCAAGACTTCAGTGGAGGAAGTTACTGCACATGTGAAAATAGCAAGAGTTCTAGAATTAGAAGTTGAGCCTGAAGATGTAACTGAATTGCTGCAATCTCATGATACAACTTGAAGATGAGTAGTTGCTTCTAATGGATGAACAAAGAAAGTGGTTTCTTAAAAAGGAATCAGTTCCTGCTGACAATGTTGTGAACATTGTTGAAATGACAACAGAGGATTTAGAATATTACTTAAACTTAGTTGATAAAGCAGGACAGAGATTGAGAGGATTGACTCCCATTTTGAAAGAAATTCTACTGAGGGTTAAATGCTGTCAAACAACCTCATATGTTACAGATAAGTCTTTTGTGAAAGGAAGAATCAGTCAATGTAGGAAACTTTCATTGTTAAGGAATTGTCACAGCCACTCCAATCTTCAGCAGCCACTGTCCTGGTCAGTCAGCAGCCATAAGCATTGGGGAAAAAAATCCTTCATCAACAAGAGGGCTCAGATGTTCATTAGCATTTTTTAGTAATAAAGTATTTTAAAATTAAGTTATGTCTTTTTTAAGACATAATAGTGTTGCACCTTTAATAGACTATAGTGTAAACATAACTTTTATATGCATTAGGAAACCAAAAAATTTGTCTGGCTTGCTTTATTGTGGTAGTCTGGAACTGAATCTGCAATATCTCTGAGGTATGTTTGTAGCTTAATGATGACATACAAACTACATACATAAAATAGAGGATTTATAATTATATTTTTAGTTGAAAATGTCACTAATATGTTTACTCTTATCTGTAGTTAAAACCCAAATAAAATCATTTTAAACAATGCATGTATATCTTTTAGTATGTGTTTACAACTCTAAGAATTTGTAACTATTGTATGCATATATATGATTGTATTGTTTATAAAGTTATTTTAGCTTACTAATTTCCAAGCTGATATATATTCAAGAATTGCTTCCCGGAATTTCATATATATTGATAGATATTCTATTTTTTACTTCCTATTATGCCTTTTCTTTAGTTCAGCAGTTGGATAGATTGTATGCTTCAGTTATTTATGGAAAGTTATTTTTGTATAGTTAACACATTTTTGTTTATATTTTCAGGAGTTGGAAAAAACCCTGGATGTCTTTAATATAACTATAGCTAGACAACAGGCAGAAGTTGAGGTAATTACAGATTACTTTTCAATTAGTAAAGGTAATTCTGAATTCAAAATAGGTATGACATGTATTGTGATATAAGTATTGTGCTATACCACAACCATTTCTTACAAGATATTCAAATTTGCTTTTTTGTGTTATAAGAAAATTTGATTTAATATTTTGCCACATGCATTTAAGTCAGAGATTTGTTTTTATGGGAATAATTCATTCTAAATAATTGAGCTTTTCAGATATTCAAAATTCATATGAAGATGAAAAGCTAGCTCCCCCGCCCCAAATCGTCATCTCTTATAAGACAGTGGGCGGCGAGGGATGGGGAGGGAACTTTGTGGTACTACGAAATTTTTATTTCTGACTGATGTTGCAGTTACCGTGTTCTGTTGTCCATGTGTATGTTTACTGTCATTCACTCAAGTAAATACATTCTGGAAATATTATGCTTCTGTTTCTTTCAGTTGCTAAATAAAGGATGGCTTGTCATTTATTTGAAAATATATTTATTTTAGGTAAAGAAAGCTGGATACAGGATTTTCAAAGAAGGGATAAAAGATCCAGAGGATAATAAAGGATGGTTTAGCTGGTTGTGGTCTTGGTCAGCACAGCATACTGATGAACAACAACCAGATGTTAAACCTGGAAGTATGTCCTTTTCACTTTACACCATTGTTAATCATTGGGTTTGAAAATAAGTTTGGTAGGAAATGCGTTCGCTAATTAAAATAAATAGATACTGTAAGTATATCCACATAATGATATATGGTGTAAAATTATTACCAATAAACTTACTGTTACCACATTTTTAAAGGTATATAAGTTAAAAAGATAAAAATTAAAATAATTTTCAAAGTCTTTCTAATGCTTACAAAAGAGCTGTGTACATAAAGAATTTAGTGTATTCATAGAGCACAGCAATAAATAGGTAAATATTCCAAAATGACCTAAACCATTGTAAATTTTTATTGAAATTGTTTCTTGGAAAGATTTTTGTTTTTTTTAACCAGATACTTAAGATTATTACTTTGGAGGCTTAATGTCTTAGGTGTATGTTATTAGCATTTTGTCTCTCACAAGTTAGTTAAGCTCATTAAACTTTAGCTTTATCATCTGTAACATGGGGAAAATTTATGAACACTTGCTATGTTCATTAGCACAGTGCTGTAAGTGCCAAGTACAGTTAGCCATTTTCTGAGCTCTTGTTTAATACAAATAGTTAAAAATATATGTCGCTAACTATATATTGCTAATTTGGAATATTGCATGTAAAATTGCCAGTGCCATTCTAAAATATTCAATGTTTATAATTTTTACAAGCATTAGAAAAAAAGTAACTTTATTATTTATTAAGGGCAGTTAAATTGTGTCAATTTTAGCCGGGCTCGGCGGCTCAGTCTGTAATCCTGCGCCTTGGGAGGCTGAGGTGAGGGGATTGCCTGAGGTGAGGGGATTGCCTGAGCCCAGGGGTTCGACACCTGCCTGGGCAACTTGGTGAGACCTCATCTCTACAATAAATAAAAAAAAAAAACTAGCCGGGCATGGTAGCACACGTCTGAAGTTCCAGCTACTTGGAAGGCTGAGGCGGAAGGATCGCCGGAGCCCGGCAGGTCGAGGCTGCGGTGGCCGGGAGCGGCCACTGCACTCCAGTCTGGGTGACAGAGTGAGACTCCAACTCAAAAAAAAAAAAAAATTGTGTCAATTTTGTGTTGTTATTATTTTAAGAACACAAAGCACTTCTTTATGACTTGTAGTTCTTGAAGAAATGTTGACTCCTGAAGAAAAAGCTTTACTCTATGAAGCAATTGGCTATAGTGAAACAGCAGTTGATCCAACTTTGCCAAAAACAGTAAGATATTTTCTTGCCTTTTATTTCAGAGTTTAATGTTAGTTTTAATCCTTTCAAGAATATATGTTACTTTTTCTGTGATTTTTTTTTTCCGGGTCAGTAATTGCATTTAATTTCCAACAATAAGATAAATATTGTTCCCTTATTTTTTGGTGTTAATGTCATGATTCTTTAATAATATGCTTTTATAGTATTTTGTGGTTTTGGAAATGAGTGGACTAAAAGAATTCGATTATTTGTTCTGTTTATATGCATATGTATATTTATTTTATTCTTCTGATTATACTCTAGTTTGAAGCCATGAAGTTTTTTGTTCACTTGAAAAGTATGTCTGTTGTTCTAAGAGAAAATCATCAAAAACCAGAACTGTTAGATATTGTCATAGAAGAATTTAGCACTTCGATTGTGCAAAGACCAGGAGCACAAGCAATAAAGTAAGTATTAATTTATTTTCTTTTATCATATAAGAAAAAAACCTTATTTAGTTTGGTTTATTGTATCCTTTTGTGTTTCTAGGAACTTAGGTTTTTCACCAGTAATATATTTTTTGAAATTAAGATAATATCCAGTCAATAGAAAATTGCATGCCAATGAAATGTAGAAGGACATGAAAGAATAATACAAAAAGAATTGGCAGTTATACCCTGCATTAATGATGGTTTTTATCTGGGAATGTCTTTATTTTACCTTTGTTTTTAACAAAATAGCTTTATTGAGATATTCATATATCATACAGCTTATCCATTTAAAGTATATGATCCATTGGTTTTTCGTAATTGTATTATATAGTAATTTTTTGTTGATGTATTTACAAGGTTGCAATCATTATCGCAATCTAATTCCAGAGCATTTCAACAACTCAAAGAAGCCTTGTAACTATTTAAGTTACTCCCAGTGACTTTACTTATCCCCTGGCAACAACTAATTTGCTTTCTTTCTTTTTTTTGATATTATATTAAATCTGTTGTTGTAAATAATGTTTTTTTTAATATATATATTTTTTATTTTACAATTGTGGGGTACTGTCTGTGTTGGGCATTCCATATGAATGTAGTCAAACAAGATGTGATCCTTGCTGTTTGGCTTTTTTCAAGATTCCTCCATGTTTTTGCATAAAGTTGAACTTTGTTCCTTTTTATTGCCTAATATTCTTTGGATGGATATACCATACTTTGTCTGTTTACCAGTTGAATATTTGGGTTATTTCTTTGGTGATTATGAATATTGCTGCTATAAAATATTCATCGACAAGATTTTGTTTGGACCTAGGTTTTAAATTTCTTAGATCTATACCTGGTAGAATTACTGCCTTCTGGTAACCTTATTTTAACCTTTTGAGGGACTTCTGGACTGTTTCCCAAAGCAGCTGCACCATTTTACATTCCTACCAACAGTGTAGAAAATTTCAGTTTCTTCATATCCTCATTAACACATATTACTATCTGTTCTTTTGATTATAGCCATTCTAGAAAGTGTAAAGTGGTATCTCATTTTGATTTACATTTCCCTGATGGCTCATAGTAATGCCTATCTTTTCCTGTGCTTATTGGCCATTTCATGTGTGTATCTTCTTTGGAAAATGCCTATTGAATTTCTTTCTATTTTTTATTGGATTATCTTTTTATTATTGAGTGTAAGAGTTCCTTATATATTGTGATTCAAGTCTCTTACTAGACAAAAAGACTTTCAGTTATTTTTTCCCGCTCAGTTTTTTCTCCCTTTTTCTTTATGGTATCCTTTGAAGCATAAATGTCTTTAATTCTGAGCAAGTCAAATTTATTTATATTTACTTTTTTACATGTTCTTTTCACCTGATCTCAGAAGTCTTTGCCTAATCCAAGGGCATGGGGATACAGTCCTATATATTCTTGTAAGAATTTTTTACTTAAATAGGTTTATGATCTATTTTGAATTAATGTTAGTGTATGGTATGAGGAAGAGGTCCAACTTTAATCTTTGCATGAGATTACTCAGTTGTCCCAGACCATTTGTAAAAAAAACTATTCTTTCCCCTATCAAATGGTCAAAATGAGTTGGTTGTAAATATAAGGATTTATTTCTGGACTCTTGATTCTAATCCCATTGGTCTGTATGTCTAGCTTATGCCAGTACAACAGTGTCTTGAATACTCTGTAGCTTTGTAGTAAATCTTGAAATCAGGAAGTATGACTCTTCCAGTTTTGTTTTTTGTTTTAGCTGTTCTGAGTTCCTTCAGTTTCTATGTAAATTTTAAGATTATCTTGCCTATTTCTGCAAAAAAAAAAAATCCGTTCAGAGTTTGATAAAGATTGTGTTGAATCTCTGTATCAATTTTGAGTTTACTCCACGTTGGATGTTTTTCCATTTATTTAGATATAAATAGTAGTTTCCAGAGTATAAGGTTTACCCCTCTTTTGTTAGATTTAGTTTTAATGCTATTATAAATGGAATTGTCAGCTTAATTTCATTGTGAATTGTTTATTACAATTGTGTAGAAATACAATTATTTTTAAATGTTGCTTCTGTACCCTGCAACCTTGGTGAACTTGTTTCATTAAGGCAGTAGTTGATTGATTTCTTAGAGTTTTGTAGTTGATTAATTCCTTAGAGTTTTTTATATATATGATCATATGATCTACAAATAGAGATAATGTTACTTCTTCCTTTTTTATTTGAATTTCTTTAATAACTCATGAATGCTGTTGAGCATTTTTTCATGTGGATATTGGCCATTAGTATAAGTTAATTGAGTTCATTTTTTTTTTTTTAATGGAGAAGGGGAGTGCAGTGGCATGATAACAACAGCCTTGATCTCCTGTGCTCCGGCAGCCCTTCCACTTCAGCATCCCAAGTAGCTGGGACTACAGGCATTCATCACCATGCCCAACTAACTTTTTGAAGTTTTTTTCTAGAGACAAGGTTTCACTATGTTACCCAGGCTGGTCTCAAGCTTCTGGGCTCAAGCAGTCCACATGCCTCGGTTTTCTAAAGTGCTGGGGTTACAGGTGTGAGCCACTACGCCTGGCCATGTCCATTTTTAAATTGAGTTATTTTTCCTTTTGTTGCTGAGTTATAAGAATTCTTACATATTCTGGATATTAGACTCTCATCAGATACATGATTTGCATATATTTTTCTTCATTCTTTAGTTTGTAATTTATTTTGTTGATGATTTCCTTTTATGTACAAAAGTTTTTAATTTTGATGAAGTTCAATTTTATCTTTTATTGTTGTTGTTCATGCTTTTGCTATCATGTGTGAGGTTTGCCTAGCCCAAGGTTGTGGAAATTGCCGGAAAGTTTATAATTTTCACTGAGTGGTCTGTGGGGAAAAGGGTTGCTGAGTTCCTCACAGAGCCATTCTAGAAATCCTCCCCATGCTTTTATTCTTAGAAAATCCTCCCCATGCTTTTTATTCTTAGAAAAGGAAATGTGGCCGGGCACAGTGGCTCACGAGGCCTGTAATCCCAGCACTTTGGGAGGCAGAGATGAGAGGATTGCCTGAGCTCAGGGGTTCAAGACCAGCCTGGGCAACTTGGCAAGACCTCATCTCTACAATAAATTCAAAAATTAGCCGGGTGTAGTGGTGTACGCTTGTAGTTCCAGCTACTTGGAAGGCTGAGGTGAAAGGATCACCTGAGCCCATCAGGCTGCGGTGGCTGCAAACGTGCTACTGCTCTCCACCCTGGGCAACTCCAGAAAAAAAAGAGGAAGTACCTATAAAGTTGTGTTAAATATGAAAGACTTCCCAGCTTTACATTGATTGAGCATTGGAAGAATTTAGTTATGTTAATTTTAGATGTTATCAGTAAGTACACCAAAAATTACCTTACAACTTTTTAAATATAGAAATTGACACTTAAGTAGGCTTCTTTGTAAATTTCTCTAGGTCAATTCAGAAGAATCATTGTATATTTTCTTTGATGTGAGTGAACTGGAGTCAGGAAATGCCAAGTGATGTTGCCTTCATTAATTTTCATTTTATTATTTTCAGTTTGAAAATTATTTAGAATTTTATGGATTCCTAACTTTTATCCTATCGTTTTTCATGCAGGTTTGAAACCAAAATAGGTTCATTTCATGTTACTGGCTTACCAGATGATTCAGAAAAGCCTCGCCTTCTGTCTTCATTGGATGAAGCTATGTCACTCTTTCAAATTACATTTGAGACAAATCCATTAGATGAAACTGTTGCTCAAAGGTGTATCATAGAAGCTGAACCTTTAGAAATTATATATGATGCAGTAAGCAGTTTTTTAAATTACTAAGTTTTTATATAATCCAGTTTGCTTTGAGTTTGTGTTAATGATGTTTATTTTAACAGAGGACAGTGAATAGTATAGTGGAATTCTTCAGACCTCCAAGAGATGTGCATCTAGCACAGCTCACTTCAGCAACTTTAACAAAACTTGAAGAATTTCGTGATAAGACAGCAACAGGTAAATACCAGTATTTACGTTAGTGAATTAAGTACTATCTCCTATATTAACTTTTGATTTATGGTTAATAATTTTAGTAACGTTTACTAAACTTATAAACTTATTATTATATTGTATTTTATTATAAACTTATATTTTTAGACTGATTACAGTTTAACAGGAACAAATTTGGTATTATGTTTAAAGGCAGAGGGAATGAAATCACTTTTTATACTCAGAATGTGCTCATCCAGAAGCCACATTTAATTGCAGAATTTTATTTAGTATTTTTGAAACTCTGTTTATAACAGAAACTGATCTCTCACTTTTCTTTCTTATGAGTCCCAGATTTTGATATATTGGCCTCAAAATATAAAAGTTCTGTCCTTTTTTATTTTCTGGGGGAGTTTGTGTAAGTCATGTATTATTTTTTCCTTAAATGTTTGGCAGAGCTTCACAGTAAAACCATTTAGGCTTGGAGATTTCTTTGTTGGAAGGTTTAATATTAGATTCAGTTTTTAAAATAGTTGACTATAGAGATAGTCTGTGTGATTTTAATGCTTTGTAATTTGTTGGGACTTTTTTCCTAGCTCAATCAATGGTATTGAAAAAAAATATTCCTCATATGCTGAAAAGCCTGTCTTTTTTGTACCTATATTATCCATTAGGCAATATTTGTTAATAAACATGTACTTCAGATCTTTTGTATCCTTACTGAATTTTCTTTCTCCTTTTGTCACCTTGTTCTATCAATTATTAAGAGAAATAACATGAAAAGTGTCCCATTATTAAATGTGGATTTTTCTGTTTCTTCTAGATCTGATAGTTTGTTTAAAAAAATAAAATTTGGGGTTATTATTAGATACATGCAGATGTGATTTTTCTTCCTCCTGTAAGCCAAATTTTTTATCTATGTGAAGTTGACTACCTATATTTTTGGAAATGCTATAATTTTTTTTCCCTGTATACTTTTTAATTTTTTGGTCTGATGTCAATATGAATTATATAAGGTTTCTTTTGTTAGAATGTTCCTGGTATGTATAGTTTTCATATTTCTACTTTTTCCCTGTATATTTTCAGATGTGTCATGTCTACACATAATAATATATATATATATTTTTGAGTTGGAGTCTCACTCTGTCACCCAGACTGGAGTGCAGTG